TTTCTAATCAGTTTTTGGTGCTAAACTTCAGATTGGTTTTGGAAAAGGGTTCCTGCTGGTCGAAGATCAATGTTACGAAGTGGTACAAAATCAGTACAAAAGATTATTACTTCCATTAAGAATAGGCAAGTTGAAGAAGGGACAAATTATTTACTTAAGGTCATCCCCTTTTCATCCTCCAAATCAATGATTTTCTGTTCTTTAAATGATTTTGTCTCCTCTTGCATACTAGGTTCCATTACCAAATGAAATGACAAAATTGTCTGCAGTGGTGTCGAGGAAGCGGCGGGAGGAGTGCAGGTAGGGGTGGGCTAGGACAGTAGCGACTGATGTTTCGCCGGCTCAAAGCCATCTCCCGACGATGTTCTTCATAACTATAGGATCCACTCATTGCCACCCAGGCGTCACCTCTGCTGCAAACAATGATATGCATAATCACCTTTTTGGATATAGTCAATTTTCTGCATGATAATAATTGATTACTAAAAACATGGAATATTTGGTTGCATTTTCTGTATTTGTTTTTTGGTAGGAAAACCTTTTTTCTGGTAGATGTGCTCCATTCTGCACTTAACATCATATAAATGATTCTATCATTTTATCCCAATGATTAACCAACTGTTGAGGAGTTCAACATGGTTAGTTACGTAGTAGATTTTTCGAAAAATGTATCAGATGAATAGCTTTCAGAATATGAAACACAAATAATTGGCTCCTTTGTTTCATTAAGCTAGCTCCAACTATAGTGTTATGTCATCTCATGCCATGACATCCATTCTTTGTTAAATTAGATGATGTTATTTCGTTCACCAAAGTGCAGGGAGTCACCCCATCAACGTCATATGGGATAGGTACATTACGATTGCAACTTAGAATCAGTAAAACTATCACTGTCTTAGGTTGATGCATGGCCATGATCATTTGTTTGTACTTCAAATTACTACTTCCATTCTCTTCTTAATATTTACTTCTTGTGTATTTGAATTGTTTTAGGCCCGGGTTAGATTAAATATCTTGGTGCTGATGAGGTCGTTGCAGAAAGAAGAATGTCAATAGCTTTGCTAGCCTGCATTTCCCACCTTGGCCTCCTTCAAAACTTATGTATTTTTGCGGGGTCTTCAACACTTATGTTTACATGCCTAACACATCCATTTCATGTATCGTATAGTAAAACAGTTTGTTTCCAACAAGTATTTTTCTCATTTGAGAAGGTAAACATTCAGCAACTTTAATACTTTCTGCCTCCATATATCTGCATAGGTTCCATTCATCCTGTTGGGAAAACAGATGGTTGCGGCAACGTGCGCCATCAATACTATTCACTTAATTCTTTCTAAAGCCACTCCTTGCATATTGACACATCTAGAAATAAGTGACATCAACCAACCAGTAATAACATCAGAGGTGTTAGATAACAACAGAGAGAAGTGAATGGGAGCAGAGAGGGAAAGCAGGATCATTGGCAAGATCAAGGGGATTACCTGCAAATTTGCGAGGTTTGGGGGTGGAAAATAATATCCCTACCAGGTCATGGTAGTTACCTAAAATGATAAATATTTGGTTTGCCTACATGATGGTTCAGAAGTTCTTTCACTGGAAATATGAATTTAGTTCTTCCATATCTATATATTTATAATAATTACTATCATTCTATTGAAAAAATAGACGGGCGCCGCAATGCGCGCCAATCATGATCTAGTGCTTAAACATTAGATTTTTAACGTTGCCGTAAAAAGAAGATACCAAGGCAGCAAAAAAAAAACAAAAAAAACTAGATGCCGAGGGATTAGGTGCGGCCTTTCACACCCATGCTTGTGTCTGACCACCTTGATTATGCTCACGTTGTCAACAGGAGTTCTGGGCGTGGCATTTCTGATTGTTACAGGTTCCAAGTTCCAACACATATAAACATTAACGAAAGAAGAAAGAAAAAGAAGCAAACAGGTAGCTGAATCTGCAGCCGCGGGAAAAGCGCAATTAAAATGATGGCGGTCGCCAAGAGCTACTATGTTGGTCCATTGGACAACTCCAAGCAGTGCTACTCCACTTCCAACAATTCGTTGGGATATCTATATATCATCATCTGTTCTCGGCCTGCGATTGCATTTGTTCGTGTCTTTCCCAGAAATCGCAGCCGTGGTTGCAGCTACCACGGCTGCAGCAACCGCGCCGACCTTCAAGCCTCCCGTGAGCTTCATAGCCCCGGCCATCTTTGCGAACGCGGCCGCCCCCACCATCTTCGACCTGAAAGCCATGGTGCGTTCCTGGGACAGTTGTTTCAGAAAATGAGCTAGTTCAGCAGCGATCTCCTGTTGTTATGCATGTTATTCTTCGAGTGCCTGTTTAGAGCATTGATGTAGAGTTAGCAGAGAACAGGCTTAAGATGTTTATCATGTGCAGTGGCCATTTGTACTCACAAGATAGCTGAAGATAACAGCAGACTGAAATCATTTCTAGACTAGAGAAGTTTTGTTTCTGGCACTTATAAAGTTGTAGTGTTCGAAACAAACTTCGAATATACTGTATATATCACCCCTCTTCACCAGCCTAAGACTTATGCACAGGAAACAAAACTCCCGGCGAACTCTGCTACGGACGAGCTCGCAGGATGAACCTTTCTTTCAAATGTCAGACTAGATCCAACAACACAACCAAATATCTTAAGACTTGGGTACACAGGAAACAAAATTCCTGACTACCAACTCTGCTACGGACGAGCTCGCAGGATGAACCTATCTTTCAAATGTCAGACTAGATCCAACAACACAACCAAATATCTTAAGACTTGGGTACACAGGAAACAAAATTCCTGACTACCAACTCTGCTACGGACGAGCTCGCAGGATGAACCTATCTTTCAAGTGCTAGACTAGATCCAACAACACAACCAAATATCTTAAGACTTGGGTACACAGGAAACAAAATTCCTGACTACCAACTCTGCTGTGGACGAGCTCGCAGGATGAACCTCTCTTTCAAGTGCTAGAGCAGATCCAACAAAACAACCAAATACTATCTAGCTAGCTGCTGGCTGCTAGAGGGGGAGATTCTTAGGTACGATCCATACCTCGACCAGGAAATCAGGAAGAAAATCAGCCACGGAGCTGCCGGCTGGCTCGAGGGAGAGCGCGATCAGCTCCCCAGGACGCCCCCGCCTTGGACCTCGCAAGGAAGATGGGGAGGAATGTTTTGGGCCAACACGGAGAGGGCCGGTGAGAGTATGAGCTAGTCACTGGGGGGCTTCTGAAGTCTTTTTCTTTCCTTCTCCTGGGGTAGGTGGGGGCCGAGCTATAGGGAGAAGCTGTTGAATGAATGATCCTTTTGAATTCTTCAATCCAAAATGGACCGCAGATGCATGCACCTCTATTCATTCTCCCACCTGCTCCTCTATGCCATGCGGGGAAGGGCAGGCCACCTTCCATGGAGAAAGCATGCGCCCCCAATCGACGAACTCTATCACAGAACTGCTCCAGCCACATGCATCTGCGATGGTAATACTCTGCGGAAAAAAATCTCGGTAAAACTATAAAGCATGGCTATAAACTTTCTGTTGAGATGCAATGTGAGCACTAAAAGTTAAACCCTGATGGGTGAAGATGATCGGGAACACATGCAGCCCATCAACAATTTTAAAAACAATTTGGAATGAGGTTTGGCCTACTCTAATAATAATAAAATGCATCTATCCCCACTTCTCTAACAATTCTCTTGGTGAGAGATCATTGTGCTTATCCCCACTTATAATAATAAAAACATGCATCTATCTTTGCCTGCCCAGGCATCCTCATGCACTAGCTAGTTATTCCAATTAATTTATTGGTACTAACTTATTGCCCTGCCCAGGCATCTTCTAGCAAAACCAACCCTTATCCATCATAAAAAACTGTTAGATCATTAACCAAGAGAGGGATCAGGCCAGAAGTTCACATCAATCCGAGCTCTCATCAGCTATAGAATAAGCATCCTCTTGGGAATGCACGAAACCCGGGTTCAGTTGATGACGACTCGGTTCAGTTTCATCCAAATTGCTTCGCCAACCGAAGCCAGTGCACAAGACCAAAAGCTTCAGCAGTTCAGCTGTCACCTATTTGAACTCCTGATGGGTGAAGATGATCAGGCACACATGCAACCATCAGCAATTTTAGAAACAAGCTGTAGAAACATATACTACTATATTGAATATCCTCCTTGTCTCTCCAATTGGTAAGAAGTCATTGTGCTTATCCCCGCTTCTGATAAAAAAAATCCATGCATCTGTCTTTGCCTGCCCTGCCCAGGCATCTTCCTGCACTAGCTAGTCATTCAGATTAATTTATTGTTACTAACTTATTGCCCCGCCCAGGCATCTTCTAGCTAAGCAATCATTTATTCACCATAAAAAAATGTTAGATCATTAACCAAGAGAGGGATCAGGCCAAAACGTTCACATCAATCCGAGCTCTTGTCAGCTACAGAATAAGTCTCCTATTGGAAAATGCACGAAGCTTGCCTTTCCATCAAGGTATATTCATCAAGGATTGTAGTTGCTGAACCAAGAGACCGTTCGCCGGTCAGCATCTTCTGTCACATCCATGCAGTCCGAGTTGAGTTGGTGACGACCCGGTACGGTTGCATCCAAATTGCTGCGCCAACCGAAGCCCGTGCAGAAGACCAAAAGCTACGGCAGTTCAGCTGTCACCTAATTATCTACATATATGCAGGACGTAGCAGTTCAGGGCCAGGCTAAAATCCATTAATCATTTGGAACATTTAGCGCGGTCGTTGGGCAAATGAGCTGGCATGCTTAGCCCCGGTACCAACAACCCCATCAATTCATGCGTTGGTGTTCTTCTTGTTGTCTTGAAGCTAGCACGGGCTCGATGAGGCATTGATTAAATCCACCAACCCTTCACTGTTGATTCTTCCTTTGGCTACAGTGCTACACCCATCAGCAGCTGCTGCTTGGTCGATTTTACACTGAGCACTATCGTCTCAGATCCACACAGAAACAGTTGGAATCAATGGAGGCGACAGTGCTGAGCGTGGGCAAGTCCGCGGTGAAGGGGGCGCTCGGCTACGCCCAGTCCGCCATCGCGGCGGAGGTGGCGCTGCAGCTGGGGGTGCAGCGCGACCAGGCCTTCATCAGGGACGAGCTCGACATGATGCAGGCCTTCCTGATGGCTGCGCACGGCGAGCAAGATGACGGCAAGGTGGTCGGGACCTGGGTGAAGCAGGTCCGCGACCTGGGCTACGATGTCGAGGACTGCCTCCAGGACCTGGCTGTCCGCCTCGAGAAGCCATCCTGGTGGCGTTTCCTCAGGACACTGCTCGACCGGCGCCATGTGGCTAAGCAGATGAAGGACCTGCGGGAGAAGGTCGAGGATGTCAGCCAGAGGAACTTGAGGTACCGCCTCATCAGGGGGCCCGCCGCTGCTGCTGACTCCAAGCAAGTCGCCACCACCGCCGAGCAAAACCTCGCAGGTAGCGCGACGATGTTCGGCATCGATGAGGCGAGGCGTGCCATGAAGCGGGACAGGCCGAGAGTGGACCTTGCCCAGCTTATCAATGGGGAGGGCAAGGACCTTAGAGTCATTGCCGTGTGGGGAACATGTGGTGTTCTTGGGCAGGCGTCCGTGATACGAAAGGTGTATGATGATGCAGACAAGTTTGAATGCCGTGCCTGGATCAAGCTTACACATCCTTTCGATCCGATCATGTTCATGCGAAACATCATGAGGCAGTTCTATGGATGTTCTTTTCCAGAACTGGCAACAACTGAGGGTCAAAGCTGTCAAGAAAGAGCAACCACTGTAGGCGCTCATGTTCTCAAAAAGATGCTGACAATAAAGCAAGAAGATTTGGTTGACGAGTTCAATGAGCATGTGAATAACAAGAGTTACCTGATTGTTCTTAACGACCTGTGTACCATAGAAGATTGGGACTGGATCAAAACTTACTTTCCCGTCAATGATAATGGAAACCGGATCATTGTGGCCACACAGCAAGTTGAAGTTGCAAGCTTGTGCGTAGGTAAAAAGTGCCAAGTCTCGGAGCTGAAGCAATTATCCGCTGATCAGACTCTCTATGTTTTCTACAACAAGGTAAAACAGAATGTTCAGAGGAATTCATGTACATCCTTAATATTTTGATCTAACGGCCACATACTGTCTTCCACGTTATAGTAGTATCATTTTTAATTCTAAGTTGTCTGAAATCTCGGTCATTTTCATAAACTTTTGGATCAACGTTCAAACATCATCATCCCAACCTCATTCCACGTATAACTTACAAAAACGAAAAAATATATAAACATCTTGCTAAAAATTCTATATTCTGAAGACTGCAATTTTAGATGATTGGGGTTTCTGGAATTTTAAGTAACTGCGAAGCAAAAGTATTAGTTTAATTGATTGACCGGGCAGTTATTCTCCCAAGCTCTGGATAGATTAACTACATGGCTGGTCCGAGACTCCCAAATATATCACTGAGGACTGCGAGGCCGAAAACAGTATAATTAATCAAATAGCGCTCCGACACATATACTACCAAATGAGTGTGCTTATTATCTTATAAAATGGTTTTTTGCTTGTGTTTAGGGCCCTCAAGGTGGAACATATTCAATGAAACCAGAGTCGAGCTCAAGCACATACTCCACTTGTAATAGCTCTATAGTGCCCAGCAGTGAGATACCAACTGGTGATCAGGCTACAGATGCTGCTGGTGGAAAGAATGCTATGCCAAGAAGGAGCCTCACTCGCATCATGTCGATGACGGCTGCTTTGGAGAAATCTCTGGTTGTTGGGAGGGAGGCAGAAAAATCTCACATCCTCGAACTAATTTCAGATGCATCAAGCAAAGAATTTCAGGTGATCTCAGTGTGGGGAATGGGTGGTCTTGGGAAAACTGCCCTAGTCACAGATATCTACCAAAGCCAAAAACTCGGTGGTGCATTTAAAAAGCGTGCTTGTGTCACGGTCATGAAACCTTTCAATCGCGAGGAACACCTTAGGAGATTAGTTATGCAACTAGACGTAGAAGCATCTGAAGAGTATGACACAATGCATTCATTGGGTAGTGCACAAAACAAATTGCCACGACCGGCTGAGGAGCTGAAGTATGAGCTGGAAAGGCTTCTGAAAGAAAAGAGGTGCTTGATTGTCTTTGATGACTTGTCATCTACCACCGAATGGGACTTGATAAGTGGAGACTTACCTCAGACAAAAAATGCAAGCCGGATCATAGTCACCACACGGGAAGTGAGTATTGCCAATTATTGTTCAAAGAAGAAACAAGAAAATGTATGCAGGCTCGAAAGTCTGAAAGAGAAGCATGCGCTTGACCTCTTCACAAAAAAGGTACTTAAAGAATGATCATGGTACTCCATTTTGCATGGTACTCCCTCTGTAAACTAATATAAGAGCGTTTAGATCACTACTTTAGTATTCTAAACACTCTTATATTAGTTTACGGAGGGAGTACTAATTAACCTTACTTACAATATGCCTACATTCACATTCCAAAACTTTAAAGTAAATTACGTCGTCAGTTTATAGTAATGCTCTGCATGTTTATTTATATAGTAGCGGCACAGTTTGGCCGTCCTAGCTAGGTTGATCATTGACCAACAATTAGTACAACATGTGGATTATGCAACAACAACACACATAGCCAATACAATGTATCCATATTCAAAATAATTTTCTAACGATTGTGATTTTCTAACTATGAAAGTGTATTATGCATATAAGAGAATATACAGTAAAATTTTAGCTCATCGTGATCAAATTATGCCCTATGTAAATCAATATAGGGCTAGAAGTAGGACAGTATGAAGAACAAATGAGGCTGATTGATACGGCTGGAATATACTTACCAGAACACACGACCATCTTCACTACTTCTAACTCTGAAATATAGAAATTATGATTGTACGCTGTATAAGATAAACTATTGACCACATATAATTACTACCAAAGAAAAGCTAGCTAGGATGGTTATTTCATATATAATCTATTTTGCAGAATGCTAAATACTTGGTTGTTAAAATTCAGGTATTTAAGGAGAATGAAGATCTGCATCGGCACTATCCTGAGCTGGTTGAGCAAGCGGAACAAATCCTGAAGAAGTGCAACGGACTTCCTCTTGCAATAGTTGCCATTGGTGGCTTCTTGGCAAATCAACCAAAGACTACCATGGAGTGGAGAAAATTGAATGAGAATCTTAGTTCTGAGTTGGAGATGATTCCAGAGCTTGACACCATAAGAACAGTCCTTCTCAAAAGCTACAATGGTTTACCCTATCATCTCAAGGCTTGTTTCTTGTATCTGGCAATCTTTCCTGAAGACTACAAGATTAGTCTAAGACGTTTGGTCCGGCGGTGGATAGCAGAGGGTTACTCAAGAGAGGTACGCGGCAAGTCTGCGCATGAAGTAGCGGAGAGCTACTTCATGGACCTTATAAGCAGGAGCATGATCCTGCCATCCCAACTATCAAGTCACAGCAGAAAAGAGATTGACTCTTGCCAACTCCATGATATTATCCGTGACATCAGCATCTCAAAGTCAGCGGAGGAAAATCTTGTTTTCAGGTTGGAGGAGGGTTGCGGCTTAAACAACCAAGGCACAACACGTCACCTCTGTGTCAGCAGCAACTGGAAGGGAGACCGGAGTGAATTCGAGGGCATGGTGGACCTGTCTCGTGTCCGATCAATAACAATTTTTGGGAAGTGGAGGCCATTCTTCATTTCAGACAAGATGAGATTGCTGCGAGTGTTGGACTTGGAAGGTACATCAGGTCTAGTTGATCATCACCTCAAGCACATTGGGAAGCTTTTCCACTTGAGATACCTTTCACTGAGAGAATGTCATGGAATTTATCATCTGCCAAGTTCTTTGGGCAACCTGAGGCAACTCCAGACACTAGATGTCACGGGTACATACATAATCAAGCTGCCTAAGACCATCATCAAGCTCAGGAAGCTACAGCACCTTCGTGCCAGGGGAGTTGGGAACAACGATGATTGTCCAGAGTATCCAGAAGAGGTGCCGGACATAATGAGGAACAAGCTATGCATGTTGACATCCTCCTCGGTAGGATTTTGCGTGGCATGCTGTGCACCTCACCTTCTGAAAGAGTGCATGGGCATAGATGGGGACACCAACAGACGTGATGTCTGCACCGCATGCTGCTGTACCTATCTGCCTATGCAGGTGACACGCCGGAGCCGGCGTGGTGTCGCAGTGCCTAGAGGGATCCACAAGCTCAAAGCCCTTCACACACTGGGTATCGTTAACATCTCAAGGAGGAAGGCTGCTCTCCGAGAGGTAGCGAGGCTCACCGGGCTACGCAAGCTGGGAGTGACCGGAATCAATGATAGCAATGGTGGAGAGCTATGTTCAGCCCTTTCTAATCTCAGCTCCCTAGAAACATTGCTGGTGCAGTCTGAAGGGAAGCCCGGTTTATTTGGCTGCTTGGATGCCCTGTCTACTCCTCCGGAAAAGCTTGAGAGCCTCAAGCTGTACGGCAACCTGGTCAGACTGCCGGCATGGATCAATGGTGGGCTGCTAACAAATCTGGCCAAGCTGAAGCTGCGGAGCTCCAGGATATCAGACCATGATGCCACCATACAAGTCCTTGGGAGCCTACCAAACCTAGCCATCCTGCGTCTGCGGAAAGATTCGTTTGAGGGAGAAGAGGTCCATCTCCATTTTCGTTGGGGTGAATCGTTCCCAAGCCTAATGGTGCTGGAACTGAGTTCCCCAGGTAAGCTCAAATCTGTGGAGTTCCAAAAGGGAGCGACCCCTAAGCTTGAGCTGCTGCAGTATTACGATCAGCCTGATCACGATCAGGAGGATCTTGTCTCAAAAGAGAATGATGATCAGTTTGAAGAGGCTCCCAGCATTTGGTTGTTTTCTGGGCTAGCATATCTGGGAAGGCTCAAGAAAGTTGTGCTAGAGGGTGGCAACTATAAACGCGACTTCGTGCGGAACCTGCGATCCCAGCTTGAGTCAAATCTGAATCGACCTGTTCTCAAGATGGACTGAGCTAAACTCTGGAAACTCTGATTCTGCTTACCTGTTTTGATCGGATCCGTCTATTAGTTAAGGTCATTTCACCTAGTATTCCTGTAGGAGTACACTAGATGAGAGACTAATAGAAGGTAGCTGTTCATATTAGCGTATCTTAGGCCATACAGAGTAAAAGTAAATGTATTTCTTATTTTTTGTAGTTTACACCCATGTCCCAGAGTAATATATAAGAAATTGAATGATTCCACTAGCTTTTGCATGCATGCTTCCACTTCCACAATACTAGCATAGCATTTCATTTATTCATTTATACTCCAACCATTGCTGGAGTATGCTCAGTGGTTAGATTTCACTACATTCATGATTCAATCCTTGATAACGAATATAGTAACAGAAGGTCAATAATACTGTTTACCTTAATAACATTGAGATAGCCTTTCCAAAACGCATTTTGGATACTGGAATGGAAGGAACATGTTTCACCGTGTAAAAGCTCTACAGCTGGCTATCTGCACATGTTTGCATAACAACTAGTTACTTTATTACAGAATCTACTTGATAAAAAACAGAGCTAAAAAGTAGCTGTAAGAACTTACAGTTTGGTAGTCAGAAATAGTCAGGGGTCAATCGAGTTACTCAACAGTATAACAGTTTCTCCACATGACAAAATCTGACCAAACCTATATACTGCATAACAAATCAGAATGGCCCTTATTTTCTGTCCATGAATTTCTTTTTTAAGACAGCAGGAATTCATCTCGTTCTTGGGCCGTCGAATGACTGAATGTATCACAGCAGGTCGTTGAAGAAACTATGTACAGCATGATTGCACAAAGATGAGCTTTAAATATATGAAATGCTGTCTGCTGCTAAGTTTTCGTTTACACTCATGTCAAGTCAGAGGAACATAACCTTCCAATTTTAAATGGTAATAAATGTTCTTTAATGCTGCATAAATAACTTCTGAATGAACATGTGAAACATCTGCTGCCAAAAACTCATGAAATTTTCCATCCACCTCAATAGAACTACATCCAGGGTTCTTCTTTACCCCTTTATCTCTCATCAACATCCTCAGCATCTTCACCTGATCCCATTTACTTTTACTTGCATATATTTGGCACATGAGTACATAGATTCCACTGTCCACTGGATCGAGTTTTACTAGCTTATCTGCAGCAAATTCACCAATCTCTACATTGCCATGCACTCTGCATGCATTCAAAAGAGCACCCCAACCGGCCTCACCAGCTTCCATTGGCATACCCTTTGCAACTTCGAGTGCCTCTTCAAGAAGTCCACTTTTCCCCAAAAGATCAATCATGCATGCATAGTGTTCTGCTTTAGGTTCAATCTGATAGCCCATTTTCATTTCTTTAAAATACCGCTTCCCTTCTGAAACTAATCCACTATGACTGCAGGCAGAAAGTAGCCCAAGGAATGTGATCTCATCAGGCACAATACCTGTTCCTTTCAACTGCTCAAAGAGATGAAGGACTTGTTCAGACTGACCGTGCACAGCATGGGCCATGACAATCGAATTCCAACTCACTACATTTCTCTCTCCCATCTCAGCAAATAATCTTGATGCTGCATCCAAATCTCCACATTTTGCATACATATCAATGAATGCATTACCTAAATTCACGGTAAGTACAGCCTTACCACTGACAATGTAGTTATCATATATCCACCTACCAAGATCCAGGCAACCCAACTGAGCACAGGCCGGAAGCACGCTTACAAGGGTAGCATTAATCGGCTCAACATTTTCTTCAATCATCTTTTTAAACAACCTCACTGCTTCCTCAGGCTGATTTGCCTGTGAGTAAGCAGCGATCATGCAACTCCAAGAAACTGCGTTCCTCCTAGGCATATCCTCAAACAGTTGGGCTGCACTCTCCAAGTAGCCGCACTTTGCATAAACGTTAACCATGGTCGTCCAGGAGTACACATCCTTGACTGCCATGCCGTCGAAAACCTCCCTGGCAGAGGGCACGCACCCGAATTTCCCAAACATGTCGATCAGCGCATTCGCCAAGCTAACGCTTCCACCAACACCACCATCTGCAACATACCGATGCACCCTCCTTCCCAGCGCTAGCAGTCCCATCTGCCCGATCGCCGACAGCGCCGCAACCAGCGTCACCTCATTCGGGTGCTGCCCCCCCGCCACCACCATCCTGCAAAACACGCGCCACGCATCGTCAGCCATCCCCCTCCGCGCGTACCCGTCCACCATGGTCGTCCAGGAAACGACGTCCCTCTCGGACATTTCATCGAACACCCTCCGCGCACGCGCCAGCGACCCGTGGTCCGCGTAGAAGTGCACCAGCGCGTTCCCGACGAGCACGCTCCGGCCAACGAACCCCCACTTGAGTGCGACGCAGGGGACGCCCTCCCCGCATGCGGACGAGGGCCCGTGCTCGGCGGCGGCCTTGAGCGCGAAGACGAGCGTGCGCGCGTCGGCAGGGAGGGCGTCGCGGACGACCCGGCGGAAGAGCGCGAGGGCGCGGCGCGGGAGGCGGGCGCGGAGGAAGGCGCGCATCATGGTGGCGAGCATGTAGGCGTTGGGGCCGGGGGCGGGGGCGCGCGCGAGGATGGCGGCGGCGTGGCCGACGCGGGGCGGCGTGGAGAGGGCGCAGAAGGCGAGCAGGCGGGACGCCGGGAAGCGGCCCGCGGCGAGGCCGGAGACGGTGAGCAGCGCGTGCAGCTGGAGGAAGCGCGGGAAGGAGGCGCAGGACTCGAGGAGGGCGAGCAGCGGGTGGGTCACCACCAGGTTGCGGTTGGTGTTCCACGCCGGCCGGGGCGGCGGCGCCGCCCCTGGGCTAACGGAAGGGAGAGGAGGCCGCGCGGGCGGAGCGTGGTGGCGCATCACAGCTTCGCGGGAGCACGAGGTTTCTATGGGTTCGCCGGCGGGGGGACAAGAGGCCGTTGCCGGAGCTACCTCGGCGAGTGGGTGGGTGAGGTTGAGTAGGGGAGGGGAGGATGCGCCATTTTTGGGAGCTGTACAACGGCGGGAGTCGCCGCGACCTCCTTGCGACTTCGCGAGAGGAGAGACGGTTATGGGCTTCAATTCCAATTCCAGCTCAGGTGGAAATGGGCTTGAGTTCAGCTTCCTTGCGAGAGTGTTTCAGTTCAGCTGGAATTCCAATTGATTCTCAAATAAACAAAATGATAAATACCGAACGTTTGGAACCAAACGTTATCGATGGGGCGTTTTAGTGACACAAGGATGGCAAATTTAGTTGACACACACGGCAATTTTCTGGCACAAAATACATTGAGCACGGAGTTGTCATGCTTGCCAACTAAAATTGACATCGTCGCGTCATTAAAATTGCCATTAGAAACTGCGTCATCAGCGTCACCAAAATTGCCATTGAAAACTGCGTTATCAGGGTCCAATAAAAGCTGGAATTACAATTCGTCTCCAATTCTAGCTCAGTTCTTATTATTTTCGGCTGGAAATGGGCTTCAAGTCCAATCTAGCTCCAAACAGCATCCTCCCCTCCTTGTCTTTTAAGTGATTACCAACTCTCTTTTTTTGCGAAGAAGTGATTACCAACTTGCTGCTATGCTCAAAAGAAATCACTACTTGTTACTGCAGTAGCCCTTAAATAATCACAGCACGTGCTGTTTTTTGAAGTTTTTCTCAACAGCAACAAAAAACGTGATATTGTAGTATTTGGCTTGTGTGACAGCTACATAACACACTGGCCTTGTCTCACACCATTGTGTGAGCCCTGGATAGGCACCACCATCACCAAGCAGAAAAACAGATGACACATACAGATTGCAAGCAATGCTGAAAGGGAGCTTTTGCTTAGAACCAGCTGCTCAGGAATTTATCATTGCAAGTGTTTAGACACAGCACATGGCCAAACAGATGCAGTAAAAAAAAAAATTTGGCCGCGACCAAATGCTGAGAGATGCATGTGCTTACTAGAACCGTTTACTGAGGAATTAGCACTGGCACGGTCCTGGAATTTGGTGCCTGACACTACAGTTTCAGGGCAGTTCAGCACTGATAATGTATCATGGGAGCAAAACAATCAACAGGAAGAAAAAATCGGGACATTATACCCCGAGTTACAAAAACACATGTATTATCATGGGAATTGCTCTGGCAAAACTTATTTATTGCGAATGCGGCCTCCTCCCGAAGGCCACGATTAGCTTCCACAGCTCTTCGGCACTGATAAACTGCCGAATGCTGGTCTACACGCTATGGAGAAGCATTTTAGAACGCTGCTTCTCCAGCAAATCCGTGGCACGTATCATTTTGTTGCCCCCGGCTTTTGGTTATCATTACCCGCGTCTTTTCCTGATACGGCAGCCGTCGCTGCGGCTGTCATGGCTGCAGCTGCCGCACCAACCTTCACGCCGCCTGCAGCTTTCATCGCCCCGGCGATCTTTGCGAATGCAGCTACACCGCCTACTAGGGCAGCACGCAGGGCTACCATTGGCCTGATCTCCATGGTGTGTTCCTGGAGCAGTTGACGCATAAATGAGCAATTTCAGCACAGTTGAACACTTGTAAAATACATTTCAAGGAAGTTGGATGTGACTGCATTTTTCAATATTTTTACATGGGTAAAAGAAGAAGAAAAAATGATGGTATAGTCTAGCATTTATGTAGTTTTAGCATAGAAAAAGCACACATGGCCTCTTAACACTACACATGCTGTGAATGGCCAAATGAACTCACAAGATAGCCAGAGATGCAGAACTAACCAAACCACTCTAAACAGAATTACTCTCTCTGATACAATATAAAATGGATATTGTATAGAGGCTGAGTCGTTTAATTCGGACCGGAGGGAGTATCTCATTTTTGGCCCAAAGATAATGTCTGAGCCTCCCGTGGAGTATACTCCAGTGGGATAAGCAGTTATGTCAAACGCACCAAGCACCCGCTTAAATTGACTACAACTCTGCTACCTCAGCATCATGCAGATAAAACTTAACAAAAACACATGCTCAACAGGATAGTGCCACGACTTCTAATTGCGTCATTCTCACAGGTGCATCGAATCATTCAGATATACCAACCTCATTAGAACTGGCCCGTCTAACTAGCCATGGGTGGTGGATCTGGAGGCTACGCCGGTCGTGCACCGGCGCACCCAGAAATTGCGAGGGTCAAGTGGGGTTCGACCAATCGATGAATGAGGACAGGCACATACCTCAGGACCCAAAGACTGCGGCAGGGGCGGAGAGGGCGGGAACGCGATGCGACGATGAGGGCAACCGGGGGCGGCGATGGGCGCGAGTACGAGGGGGGTGGGGTGAGGGGTGGGGAGCGGGCTGAAGGGTCGGCGGTGGCTGGCGCTAAGGCACGGCGCGGCGGCGGCTGTAGGGGAGGCGGCGGCGGATCGGAAGAGATCTTTGGGTCGGGAGGTCCGCGGGAGGAAGAGGGAAGAAGGGTGCGGGGAGAGGACGGGCTTGTCTGTGTGGATTGAAGAGTTGATTTTCTTTTTCGGGATATTCAGAAGGGCTCGTGGGCATATGCTTCCGCGTGTAAAAATAAACCGGGGTTTTATCGGTTTTGTCATCAGTTGTCTGGTTGTGTCAGACTATTCAATTTTATCATTGAAGATTCAACTACTTAAATGATATTCTTTCGTTAAGATTGTGCTAAAAATGCCACTCGGTAACACTACTGTTCGGTTAAAGAGCATTGACCGGGGTGAAGTGACTAAGATACCTCTGGACCTCACTTGTCAGTGTTTTCTCCACACTACTTAAACGTGTGGGTTCTAATTCTCAGCCCATGGGGAATAAAAATTAGAAGCAAAAATAGCTTTACGCGGGTGATTAAATCTTCATGGGATGTTATTTTAAATCTAATTAGGAACTGCAACTTATAGAAGAGCGCTGGCGAGTGGAGTGCAAGGGTATTTTGTTCACTTCACCCCGATCAATGGACTTTAATCGAGCGTTTCTGGTGTCGATTGCCATTTTCAGCACACACATAAACGAAAATAGATGTCATTGTTTACATATTTGGAGCTATTCCCACTTATGAGAAGTTGAAACTTCTGAAGGAAATATGCCCAAAAGGCAATAAATAAAGTTATTATTTTATATTTCCTTATTCATGATAAAGATTTATTATTCATGCTAGAATTGTATTGATCGAAAATTAAAATAGATGTGTGAATACATAAACAAATACCATGTCCCTAGTAAGCCTCTACTAGACTAGCTCGTTGACCAAAGATGGTTAAGGTTTCCTAACCATACACATGTGTTGTCACTTGATAACGGGATATCGTTTAGTTTATTGCTATGCTTTCTTCATGTCAAAGACATATTCCTTCGACTATGAGATTATGCAACTCCTAAATATCGGAGGAATACATTGTGTGTTATTAAATGTCACAACGTAACTAGATGATCATAAAGATGCTCTACATGTATCTCCGAAGGTGTTTGTTGAGTTGGCATAGATCGAGATTAGTATTTGTCACTCCGAGTATCGAAGAGGTATCTCTGGGCCCTCTCGGTAATACACGTCATAAGAAGCCTTGCAAGCAAATGACCAATGAGTTAGTTATGAGATGATGTGTTACGGAACGAGTAAAGAGACTTGTCGGTAACGAGATTGAACTAGGTATGAAGATACCGACGATCGAATCTCGGGCAAGTAACATACCGATGGACAAAGGGAATTGCGTATGTTGTCATAACGATTCGACCGATAAAGATATTCGTAGAATATGTAGGAGCCAATATGGGCATCTAGGTTCCGCTATTGGTTATTGACCGGAGAGGTGTCTCGATCATGTCTACATAGTTCTCGAATCCATAGGATCCGCACGCTTAACGTTCATTGACGATATAGTGTTATATAAGTTATATAATTTGGTGACCGAATGTTGTTCAGAGTCCCGGATGAGATCACAAACATGACGAGTCTCAAAATGGTCGAGAGGTAAAGATTGATATATAGGACGATGGTATTCGGACACCAGAAGTGTTTCGGAGAAAACCGGATAGTCATGGGATCACTGGAAGGGGTTCCTAGAGGCCCCGGGAGGTCTATGGGCCTAATGGGCCAAGGGGAGGCACACATTAGCCCATAGAGGGGCTGGCGCGCCCTCTCCCTGGCCGTCAGCCCTAAAAGAAGGAAAGGGGGGCGCCACCTCCTCCCGCCTTTTCCCCCTTGTGGGAGAAAGGAAGGGGGGGCGCCACCCCCCTTCCTTCCCCTTGGCGCTAAAAGAATGAAAGGGGGCGGCCTAGGGCAAGCCCAAGTAGGATTCGAACCTACTTGGGGCGCCCCTTGGACTCTCCCCTCTCCCTCCCACCTATATATATGTGGGAGGGGCACCTAGCACACCCCAGACAATTGCTTAGCCGTGTGCGGCGCCCTCCTCCATCGTTTACACCCCCGGACATATTTTCGTAGTGCTTAGGTGAAGCCCTGCAGAGATAACTTCATTGTCACCGTCACCATGTCGTCGTGCTATCAGAACTCATCCACTACCTCGCCGTCTTGCTCGATCAAGAAGGCACGGACGTCACCAAACTGAACGTGTGTTAAACGTGGAGGTGTCGTACGTTCGGTGCTCGAACGGTTGGATCACGAGGAAAGTTCGACTACATCAATCGCGTTGTCAAAGGCTTCTGCTTACGATCTGCGGGGGTATATAGACACACTCTCCCCCCTCATTTTTATGCATCTCCATGGATAGATCTTGCGTGTGCATAGAAATATTTTTGCTTTCCATGCAACGTTTCCCAACAGTGCTATCAGAGTCAGGTCTATGCATAGACAATATGCATGAATAGAACACAAAGTATTGTGGGCGGTGATGGTCATACTACTTACCACCAATGTCTTATTTTGATTCGGTGGTATTGTAAGATGAAGCGGCTCGGACCAACCTTACATGTCCATGTACATGTGATCGGTTCCACCAACAGACATGCAACTTATTTTGCATAAAGGTGGTTGGCGGGTGTATATTTCTCCTACTTTGGTTGAATCGAATTTGACTGTGGCTGGTCCTTGAAGAAGGTTAAAACAACAAACTTGATAAATCACCATTGTGGTTTTTGCCGTAGGTAAGAATGGTTCTTGATAGAAGCCCGTAGCAGTCACGTAAAACTTGCAACAACAAAGTAGAGGACGTGTAACTTGTTTTTGCAGGGCATGTTGTGATGTGATATGGCCAAGACATGATGTGATATACGTTGTTGTATGAGATGATCATGTTTTGTAAATTTATCGGCAACCGGTAGGAGCCTTATGGTTGTCTGTTTATTGTATGAAATGCAAACGCCATGTAATTGCTTTACTTTATTGCTATGCGTTAGCAATAGTTGTAGAAGCAATAGTTGGCGAGACGATCACGACGCAATGATGGAAATCAAGGTGTCGAGCCAGTGACGATGAAGATCATGATGATGCTTTGAAGATGGAGATCAAAAGCATAAGATGATGATGGCCATATCATGTCACATATTTTGATTGCATGTGATGTTTATCTTTTATGCCTCTTATTTTGCTTAGAACGGCGGTAGCATTATAAGATGATCCCATCACTAAATTTCAAGATAAAAGTGTTCTCCCCGAGCATGCACCGTTGCTAAAGTTCGTCGTTTCGAAGCACCTCGTGATGGTTGAGTGTGATAGACTCTATGTTCACATACAATGGGTGTAAGACAATTTTGTACATGCAGAATACTTGGGTTAAACTTGACGAGCCTAGCATGTATAGACATGGTCTCAGAACACTGGAGACCAAAAGGTCAAACGTGAGTCATATAGTAGATATGATCAACATAGAGATGCTCACCATTGAAGACTACCAAATCTCACGTGATGATCGGACATGGGTTAGTTGATTTGGATCACGTATCACTTAGGCCTTGTTCGGTTGCAACAAAATTGAAGGGGTTTGAAGTGGATTGAGGTGGATTAAATCCCATACAAGTCAAAATCTCATCCAATCCCCTCCAAACCTCTCCAATCCCCTCCAGGAGAGGTTTATCCGAACAAGGCCTTAGATAACTTGAGGGATGTTTATTTAAGTGAGAGTTCATTAGTAATTTGATTAATTGAACTTAATTTATCATGAACTTGGTCCTGATAATACTTGCATATCTATGTTATAGATCAATGGCCTGTGCTACCGTTCCCCTGAATTTTAATGTGTTCCTAGAGAAAGCTAAGTTGAAAGATGATGGTAGCAACTACACAGACTATGTTCGTAACTTGAGGATTATCCTCATTGCTGCATAGAAGAATTATGTCCTTGATGCACCGCTAGGTGACAGGCCTACCGCAGGAGCTGATGTAGATGTTATGAATGTCTGGCAAGCTCGATCTGATGACTACTCAATAGTTCAGTGTGCCATGCTTTATAGCTTAGAACCGGGACTTCGAAGATATTTTGAACGTCATGGAGCATATGAGATGTTCCAAGAGTTGAAGCAAATATTTCAAGCAAATGCTCGGGTTGAGAGATATGAAGTCTCCAACAAGTTCTATAGCTGC